CCAGTAATTAAGGTGTTTTATCTCCGTTATGTGCGCCGTGAAGGCTCTCTGTACATTTTCTAGGTCAGCAATTTCACCTGCCTTGAAAGGTGCTGTTAGTGTGCAGCAATATTCCAGCCTAGATAAAACAAGTGACCTGAAGAGTGCCATCATGGGCTTGGCATCCCTAGTTTTGAAAGTTCTCATTATCCATCCTGTCATTTTTCTAGCAGATGCGATTGATACAATGTTATGGTCCTTGAAGGTGAGATCCTCCGACATGATCACTCCCAGGCCTTTGACGTTGGTGTTTCGCTCTATTTTGTGGCCAGAATTTGTTTTGTACTCTGATGAAGATTTAATTTCCTCGTGTTTACCATATCTGAGTAATTGAAATTTCTCATCGTTGAACTTCATATTGTTTTCTGCAGCCCACTGAAAGATTTGGTTGATGTCCGCCTGGAGCCTTGCAGTGTCTGCAATGGAAGACACTGTCATGCAGATTCGGGTGCCATCTGCAAAGGAAGACACGGTGCTGTGGCTGACATCCTTGTCTATGTCAGATATGAGGATGAGGAACAAGATGGGAGCGAGTACTGTGCCTTGTGGAACAGAGCTTTTCACCGTAGCTGCCTCGGACTTTACTCTGTTGACTACTACTCTCTGTGTTCTGTTAGTGAGGAAATTATAGATCCATCTACCGACTTTTCCTGTTATTCCTTTAGCACGCATTTTGTGCTCTATTACGCCATGGTCACACTTGTCGAAGGCTTTTGCAAAGTCTTTATATATTACATCTGCATTCTTTTTGTCTTCTAGTGCATCTAGGACCTTGTCGTAGTGATCCAATAGTTGAGACAGAGAGGAGCGACATGTTCTAAACCCATGTTGCCTTGGGTTGTGTAATTTATGGGTTTCTAGATGGGTGGTTATCTTGCTTCTTAGGACCCTTTCAAAGAATTTTATGATATGGGATATTAGTGCTATCGGTCTGTAGTTCTTTGCTGTTGCTTTACTGCCCCCTTTGTGGAGTGGGGCTATGTCTGTTGTTTTTAGTAACTGTGGGACGACCCCCGTGTCCATGCTCCCTCTCCATAGGATGGAAAAGGCTCGTGATAGGGGCTTCTTGCAGTTCTTGATGAACACGGAGTTGCATGAGTCTGGCCCTGGGGCAGAGTGCATGGGCATGTCATTTATCGCCTGTTCGAAGTCATTTGGCTTCAGGATAACAACGGATAGGCTTGTGTTAACCAAATTCTGTGGCTCTCCCATAAAAAAATTCATTTTGATCTTCGACTCTCAGTCTGGTTAGCGGCTTGCTAAAAACTGAGTCATATTGGGACTTGAGTAGCTCACTCGTTTCCTTGCTGTCATCTGTGTAGGACCCATCTTGTTTAAGTAGGGGCCCAATACTGGACGTTGTTCTCGACTTTGATTTGGCATAGGAGAATAAATACTTTGGGTTTCTTTCGATTTCATTTATGGCTTTTAGTTCTTCCCGCGATTCCTGACTCCTATAAGATTCCTTTAGCTTAAGTTCGATGCTTGCTATTTCTCTGACCAGTGTCTCCCTACGCATTTCAGATATATTGACCTCTTTTAGCCGCTCTGTTATTCTTTTCCGTCGCCTGTAAAGGGAGCGCCTGTCTTTTTCTATTTTACATCTACTCCTCCTTTTTCTTAGAGGAATAAGCCTTGTGCATACATCGAGTGCCACCGAGTTAATCTGTTCTAGGCATAAGTTGGGGTCTGTGTTGCTTAGTATATCTTCCCAGCTTATATCGGTTAGGACTTGGTTTACTTGGTCCCACTTTATGTTTTTGTTATTGAAGTTGAATTTGGTGAATGCTCCCTCGTGACTAGTCTCATTTTGTCGGTCTGGGGCTCCGCGCATACATGTCTGAACCTCAATTATGTTGTGATCTGAGTATATTGTTTTTGATATGGTGACATTTCTTATCAGATCATCATTGTTAGTGAAGATGAGGTCTAGTGTATTCTCCAGTCTAGTAGGCTCTATTATTTGCTGGTTTAAATTGAATTTTGTGCAGAGATTTAAAAGCTCGCGTGAGTGTGAGTTTTCATCAGAGCTGCCTCCTGGTGTTATTACTGCAACAATATTATTTGCTATATTTGTGTCATAATAATTTTTTAAATGGTACTGACAGGCAGAATAACCACAGTGAAAAAAAGATGAAATTCCAAACGTTTTCGTGAGAAATCACAAAAGCGCTTGGAATTTCATCATTTTTTTCACTGTGGTTATTTTGCATATTGTGATATTACCTGTTTACAGTGATCTTATTGCATGACTTTAATATGTGTAATAATGTTTCCCTGCGTCTTATAACAGGGATTCTGATGTTCTCTATCTTCATGATTTTTATCTCATTTTTATCATTGTACGTACATAACAATGACATAATGACAGTAGGTCACAGGAGCTACCGACATAAATACATAAAACATGCCTTTTATGGATTAATTAAAATTAAAGCTTAATTGTAAATCATGTTCATTGACTTTTTCTTCACTGATTTGTAATAACAATGATTTCTTATTGACAAGAATGAAGAACAATGTGACAAATATAACGTAACAAGAATTTCTCTAATATATAATAAAAAACGTTTGATATATAACACTTTTCCTTGTATTTTTCAGCATGACCCAGATGTACCGTGTTTTCCAGCATATAAGGCGCGCCTATTGTGTAGAGTAGAGGTTGTGTGTTGGGGTTTTTAAGACTGGGTAGGGTTAGTGGTCCTTGTTTTAGTCATGAAATTCAGGCGAGGGCCTGTAGCCCCACCCTGGCTCCTGAAATAGTGGATACTCACCTCTGTGTAGCACAGGAAGCAGTGTGCACTATCAGACAGTCGCAACGGTAATCTCTGGTCCTGGGTGACCACTCCTGGCACCTGTGTACACCTCAATGCATTCGGGGATTCGTGTACTTACGTGGAGGTGGAAGGCCGTGGGTGCACTTGAGAAAATACCTGTACGAGTCACGCAACTGACTGCCTTAGCTTAAATAAGTTTAAGTATTAAGTGTTAATACAGTAGCCCAGGGGTTTATTGTTACTAGGGTGAGTCTTACAGATTAAGTATATACAGAACTGACACCTCTCTGAGGCGTCGTCTCATCCTCCTTCCCCCTCCCCCCAACTGGGGGACTGCTGTAACGTTTCTGGGAAATTCAAGTGATATTTCCCACACCCATTTTGCCCTACGAAAGTCTTGGAAAAATCAGCCTGCGCCTTATATGCTCAAGGTGAGGATTAAGGGTAGGTTTTGTGTTAAGCTTTAGTTTAAAGTTAGACGGTAATTAACCATTGAATATGATTTACCGTTATGATACTTCTGTCGTGCGCCTTATATGCCGGAAAATACGGTATGTCCGTCCTAAATCAGGTGAATGTTTATTACGGAGCTGTGAGGAAGTCAAAAACCTGATAACATTAAATGGAAGTCTTTAAAACCCACAGTAACAAGTACCACCACCTCGTAGGTTTTTCAGGACAAGTTTTCTCTTGTTTTCCATATATTTGGCAATATTTAATTTTTTTTTTAAATTTTAACAAGAAAGCCTCATTAAAAACTATAAATTTAAACATCTTTCTTAGTTTAGTGGAAAAATTACAATAAAAGACAAAAGAGTCATAGAACGTGAAAATTTTGCTGTTCTCTTCTGTTCACTATTATGTGCTATTTCCCGTTTACGATACACTAAGTGTAGCATCTTAACTAAGAGAAGCCATACCACTGATATTGTGTTACTTTTCAGCACATGAATTAGCTTGTACACTTACTGTAGATGAATGGTTCAGAGAACCGACACGTTGATAAATTAGACAGATGTGCAACTCTTGGGTATCTAATTTATCAACGTGTCGGTGCTCTGAACCATTGATCTACAATCCTGTCAGACACTGCAACTTCTTGGGATCTTAATACTTGGGAATTCTTCACTTGCCTAACCCTTGGACACGACCTACTTCCATATTGGACAAATGGGACACCACCTACGACTGCTGCACCTCTCCTGACTATGGTATATAAGCTACTTCTCGGCACATATGCTGTATTCTATTCAAGATTGATGGACTGACCACATCGACTCAAGGTTGAGGTACTGATTACCTCATTCTTCTCCTGTTCTTCATGATTCTCCTTTGTATGGACTGATGAAGCCACTGTGTGGCGAAACGTTTCCTCAAAAAAGATACCCAAGAGTTGCACATGTGTCTAATTTGTACACTTACTGTTCTACTTCTCCATTAAGATACATATAATATCTTAGGAGGAGCGCATGTGCTTCTGTACTCTCACTTCAGTGTGAAACGGAAGACTTAAAAATTTTGCACTCTTAAAGGATTGCTGGTCGTTCTCCCTCTCCCTCATAAACACAGAAACATATATACGAATGATAAATCTAAACCTAAAGGTTTTTCTGTAACCTCAATAGGTAATAAAAGAGGTTGAACATATCACTATATCAAACATTAAGGCGGCTGAGTTAGTACCAGACGCTGACATTACATCGTTGAGCATAACTAACATCTTGTGTTGTATTGCAACCTACAGTAAGTCTTGTTCATGTATCTGCTGTAATAATGTTCTGAAGTCTTGTTCATGTACCTGTCTGCTGTAATAATGTGCCCGAAGTCTTATTCATGTACCTGTCTGCTGTATTAATATTCTGGAAGTCTTGTTCATGTATCTGCTTACTGTAATAATATTCTGAAGTCTTGTTCACGTATCTGCTGTAATAATGTTCTGAAGTCTTGTTCATGTACCTGTCTGCTGTAATAATGTTCTGGATGTCTTGTTCATGTACCTGTCTGCTGTAATAATGTTCTGGATGTCTTGTTCACGTACCTGTCTGCTGTAACTAGCAGTTCTCATATTATATAACGAACTCCATTTACAGAGTGCGATGTAACAGTGATATTCTTGTCAAAAATCATCTGCTTAACTTTTATATGCTTAAATTTTCGATTTGAAAATAAAAATAAGGATAGTAAAGATGACACATTTTCTTTATTCAAAACAGTGTAAGAATATGTAAATTTTGCTTCGCAAAATAATGTCATACACTGAACACAGCTTTTGCTGTGGATATGTGACCTTGATGACCTTGTTGTTAGATGGTCAGGAGGAGGGTAAGTGCCATCCTCTTCAGCTTCTTCTGAAGTGCCTGATAGCGGTGGTGCCCGACGCCTTGTGAGTCAGTGTCTGCAACATACAGCCTGAGTCACACTTCTTGTCTACTATGTGGCCCCATAACAAAGGGGCTCAACCCCTTTCTCTCCGATTAGTACAAGTGTCAAAAAATTAGGAAAAAAAAAATTGAGCCCAGTATTTAAAAAGGAGGACGATTAAGAGACACTGTATAACATGCATACTGTCAAATATTTTGAATAACATAGCAAAAGGATGCTGGAAGAATGGAGAGATTTCTTACAGGAAGCTAGCACGGATTTAGGGGTTTAAAATCTTGTCTTACGAATTTGCTAGATTACTATGTCAGAGTCACAGAGATAAAACAAGAAAGATAGGGATTAGTGGACTGCATCTTGTTGGACTGACGGAAAGGATCTGATACGGAACTACACCTGAGACTACTCCAGATATTGGAAGAACATGCAGGGTTAAAAGGTAGAGTTGCTTCAGTGGTAAAGGAGTCCCTAGTACCTAAATGACAGAAGGCAGAAAGTAACAATAAGAGATGAGACATCAGAATGGGGGAAAGTAACGAGCGAGGTTCCACAATGAGGAGTGCTACGATCACTGCTGTTTCTAATACACGTGAACTACCTACTAAAGTGGATTGAATTATGTATGTCGCTATTTGCAGTTGTTGTAAAACTAATGTAAAAAAAAGAACAAAGGAGGACAGTAATAAACTTCACGAAGACAGGAATTTATCGACCCCTTAGTAGTCCTATCGACGCTCAGGATTCGACACTGACCACCTTTGGGAACTCTGGTCTGAAAGTTTGCACCTAGGCTAGTACCAGAACTGAGAAGAATACACAAAGTAGAGAGGTTGAAGGAAGTGAACCTGAAAACCTGGCAGATAAAACTTGAAGACATAGACAAACCATATTCATGTAAGGAAGTATAATTTAGTCTCGGAGGGATGAAAGTGGAATGACCTGGATGAGGTCTGTGGTGGAGGCAAACTCAATACACAGCCTCAAGAGTAGATATGACACGGCTGAAGAGACCAGGTATCAATGATAATGATCAAAGTAATTTAGGAAGCTAGCCCAAGATATCAGACTCGACCTCGCAAACACAACTTGGTGAGTACACACAGGCACGCACAGACAAAAACAGAACAACACACACACACACAACCACACACACACCCACACACACACACACACACACACACAGAGCTAAGGGGAATGTCCTATGAAGAAAGGTTAAGGGAAATTGGTCTGGCAACACTGGAGGACAGGAGGGTCAAGGAAGACATGATAACGACATACAAAATACTGCGTGGAATAGACAAGGTGGACAGAGACAGGATGTTCCAGAGATGGGACACAGAAACAATGGGTCACAATTGGTAGCTGAAGACTCATATGAGTCAAAGGGATGTTAGGAAGTATTTCTTCAGTCATAGAGTAGTTAGGAAGTGGAATAGTCTGGCAAGCGATGTGGTAGAGGCAGGAACTATACATAGTTTTAAGACGAGGTATGATAAAGCTCATGGAGCATGGGGAGAGAGGACCTAGTAGCGGTCGGTGAAGAGGCGGGACCAGTAGCTGAGCCTCGACCCCTGCAACCACAATTAGGTGAGTACAATTAGGTGAGTACACACACACACACACACACACACACACACCAACAGACTGACCAATTACCACGCTGACTAACGACCTTAAGTAGTGCAGATGTTGAGGACTTCACGTATGAAAGACCCCTTGGGGCCAGCGATCATGTGATTTTAAGATTTGAATACACAGTAGAGTTACAAGTGGAGGGGGAAGCAGGAAGGCCAGGGCGAATGAAGCTAAACTACAAGAAAGGGAACTACACGGGAACGAAGAACTTCCTCAACGGGGTTCAGTGGGACAGAGAACTGGCAGGGAAGTCAGTAAACGAGTTGATGGAATATGTGACAACAATATGCAAGGAAACTGAGGAGAGGTTTGTATCCAAGGGTAACAGGAATAATGAAAAAGCCAGGATGAGCCCATGGTTCACCCAAGGGTTCAGGGAGGCAAAACCAAGTGTGCTAGGGAATGGAAGAAGTATAGAAGACAAAGGACCCAGGAGAATAAGGAGAGCAGTCGTAGAGCCAGAAATGAATATGCACAGGTAAGAAGGGAGGCCCAAGAACAATATGAAAATGACATAGCAGAGAAAGCCAAATCTGACCTGAAGCTGTTGTACAGCCACATCAGGAGGAAAACAACAGTCAAGGACCAGGTAATCAGGCTAAGGAAGGAAGGACGAGAGATCACAAGAAACGACTACGAAGTATGTGAGGAATTCAACATGAGATTCGAAGAAGTGTTCACAGAGGAGACAGAAGGGGCTCCAGAACGACGGAGAGGTAGGGTACATCACCAAGTGTTGGACACAATACACACAATCGAGGTAGAAGTGAAGAGGCTTCTGCGTGAGCTAGATACCTCAAAGGCGATGGGGCCGGATAACATCTCTCCATGGGTCCTGAGAGAGGGAGCAGAGGCGCTGTGTGTACCCCTAACAATAATATTCAACACATCTATCGAAACAGGGAGATTACCTGAGGCATGGAAGACAGCAAATGTAGTCCCAATTTTTAAAAAAGGAGACAGACAGGAAGCATGTATAGTATGCAGAGTCATGGAGAAGATTATCAGGAAAAGAGTGGTGGAACACCTAGAAAGAAATGAGCTTATCAACAACAGCCAACACTGTTTCAGGGACGGGAAATCCTGTGTCACAAGCCTACTGGAGTTCTATGACAGGGTGACAGCAGTAAGACAAGAGAGAGAGGGGTGGGTAGATTGCATTTTCTTGGACTGTAAGAAGGAGTTTGACACAGTTCCACACAAGAGATTAGTGCAGAAACTGTAGGACCAGGCAGGGATAACAGGGAAGGCACTACAATGGATCAGGGAATACCTGTCAGGAAGACAGTAGCGAGTCGTGGTATGCGGCAAGGTATCAGAGTGGGAACCTGTGATGAGTGGGGTTCCACAGGGGTCAGTTCTAGGACCAGTGCTGTTTCTGGTAATTGTGAACGACATGACGGAAGGAATAGACTCCGAAGTGTCCCTGTTATCAGATGATGTGAAGTTGATGAGAAGAATTCAATCGGACTAGGACCAGGAAGAACTACAAAGGGATCTGGACAGGCTGCAGGCCTGGTCCAGCAACTGGCTTCTGGAGTTCAACCCCACCAAGTGCAAAGACCGCAGACGGAGTACAGTCTAGGGGGCCAGAGACTACAAACCTCACTCAAAGAAAAAGATCTTGCAGTGAGTATAACACCAGGCACATCTCAGGCGCACATCAACCAAATAACTGCTGCAGCATATGGATGCCTAGCAAACCTAAGAACAGGACCCTGTACACTGTGTACGTTAGGCCCATATTGGAGTATGCAGCACCAGTTTGGAACCCCCATCTAGCCAAGCACGTAAAGAAACTAGAGAAAGTGCAGAGGTTTGCAACAAGACTAGTCCCAGAGCTAAGGGGTATTGACAAGGTGGACAGAGACAGAATGTTCCAGAGATGGGACACCACAGCAACAAGGGGACACAGTTGAAAACTGAAGATACAGATAAATCACAGGGATGTTAGGAAGTATTTCTTCAGCCACATAGTAGTCAGGAAGTGGAATAGTTTGGGAAGCGATGTAGTGGAGGCAGGATCCATTCATAGCTTTAAGCAGAGGTATGATAAAGCTCCTGGTGCAGGGAAAGTGACCCAGTAGCGGCCAGTTGTGCTCACAACCAGGTGAGTACAACTAGGTGAGTACACACACGCACACACACACACACACACACACACACACACACACACACACACACACACACACACACACATGCACACACACACACACACACACGGGGGGTGTGGGGGGCTGGGCACAATCCCCAGCAGCAACCATGGTATTAAAAACCTTGGTGGATGAATGGAGCAAGAATGTTGACACAATTCACTCTTTAATTGTATTTAAGGCAACTTTTACATTTCACTTCCTCTGACATCTCATACTTCAATTAGTTATTTTAGTGTGTAAGCCGCCAGGTATGTGGCATAATATTTACCCAACTTAGAATATATGATACCCCTCTATCTTCCGTGTTAGAAAATAAATTCAGAGTCCCCTGAGGTGCTATAAATAGTTTAGATATTATAGTTTAGATATTAAATATTATTTCTACAAGTGAATGTACAAGGTATACAGACCATAGCTGACATCAGTAACATACTATTTTATAGAAAGTCACTTGTTATGCTGGGCATTTCCCGAAAATGGGGTTAGTTTTGTCCCAGGATCCGACCCACACCAGTCCACTAACATCCAGATGCCCATTTTAAACTGATGAGTGAAGAGGGACAGCAGGTATCTTATGGAAAAACGTCCTAATGTATTCTAGCCGTACCCGAGATTCCAACCCCGGACCTCAGTGTGTGAGGTGAATGCGTTAGCGATCGATCTTTGTACTTAATTTTTTTTGGGGTGGAAATCTTGTGTGCCTTGCAACAACAGTCTTTTGTTCAAGAATGAAGTATTTTGGAAACAAGTGGAGCTGCGAGTACAAGTGTTATAATGTCTATGTATATAAGTACAAGAGCTTTAGAAGAGTATTATAAATCGTATATCATGTACCTAGATAAACGAGAACACTTGAGCTTTGGAAGGATACTGCTGTTTGTGCTTCACGTACCTGTGTACACGAAAGTGCAAGAGCTTTTGAAGAGTATTAGTTCCGTCTCTCCTCCCTATGTACACTAGTGTTACATGTACCTAGGTACATGATACCTTGCTTGTTTATTTAGGTCAGTAACATAGAAAGGTATCGCAGTACATATTCATACTCGTGTTTCGTAGCTTCCTTACCCCTTGACTGTCACAACCCCCAATCCTGAGGTGTCTCCTGGTGTCGCAAAATGTCAAAAAAAAAAAAAAAAATTATTTTTCTTATGAAATGATAGAGAATCTTTTCCCGATTGTAATGACACTAAAAAAAGCGAAATTTGATGGAAAACTGGCGGAATTA